TTGGTTCAGGAATCCGAGAAGCTCTGAACACTTGCTTGAAAATTTCACTAGGAAACTCACTTTTGGTTCAGGAACTTTGTTGGATCCTTGAGCCAAAAGTGAAGCAAGCTCCTACTACATGCAAAGAAGGGTTGCCTTCAGCTCGGTATTCTCAAACTGGATTTTTGCAAGGACTTTGGCAAAGAAATTAGGATGGCTTGGAGACTCTATCGGCAAAGAAGAAAGAAAAAGGGGGAAAAAGGTAAAGACAGTCAAACAATCAAAACGAGCTAAAGCAAAAATGAAAAAAAACACAATCTGAATCAAACTGTCAAGACCCCCAACAAGATTAAGACTCGAAAATGCAGAAAACAAAGAGAAAAGCTAGTGGAAAGGCTTTAAACTGGCGTTGATTTAGATTGTGAAGAAATGGAACAAGGCTAACCTATATATATTATAGGTTAATAAAGTTCTGCCACTCTTAGATTGAAGACGGCCTAAATATAGCTAAGGTCGAGGAGGTGCCACGTCATCATCAGGAATGTGGCTTGAGATTCAGGAATCGTACAGGAAATCAGAGAGTCAAGAATAGGGAAGTGTCTCGAGAGTCAAAAATGTGGTTTGCAGGTCAAGAATTTGGCGAGAGTCAGGAATGTGGCAAAAATTGAGGGATTCCTTACACACTCAACTCTACCAAAAACTAGAGTTGTTTTATATCATGAATAAAGTTCTACTTTTGGACAGAAAATTATCTAAGTCTACATTTAAATATAACAAAGCAAGTGAAAGTGGAGTTGAAAGAAATTTTTTAACAAACCTTGCATTGATCTTTTGGCAGGCCAAGATAGATCTATTGATATCCAAAGGAAGCTACATACTTATGGTTACTATCAATAATTTGAAATATTATCCCTGCAAATTATTAAGTTTCAGAATGTCTAATAAGCATATTATTGAATTCAAAGGTCTTCCTCCTTTAAATAGGATCCCTGCATTTCACGATCTCAAGTGTGACGGTAATGATCTCTATTATTTCTAACTTGCAAAAAGCATATTACTACCTTTAGTGACCTGAAGGTCCTTTTAAAAATGTATGAATTAGTATTTGGATATTAAATGAAATATCTAAATAATCAGGTGCTAAAAGATTGATATTTGTGCCTATAAATATAGATGCATTCAACTTGAATCAATACAAAATAGTGTTAGCAAAATATTTATTGATATGATATATTTGAATGGAATGTAGATCAAATTTAGTTTTAAAACTTACAAATATATAATTAAAAAACTAAATTTTTAATTTATAAATTTTTAATTTATAAATTTTTAATTTATAAATTTTATTTATTAGTTTATTAAGTTTTATGCTAACTTATTTATTAATGACTTATTTATTTGGTTAATATAAACTGAGGATTTTTGTTTTGTGCCTTGTAGCAATTGCCTAATATGTGTTTATATATTAAATTGTATTTTACACCACTTACTGAGTTTTAAATGTATTTTATAAAATATAGAAGATAAACAATAATGCTAAAATTAAATGAATTAAATAACTAGAGTTAAATGAAATTAGATGGGAAACTTAATAAAAGGAATGTTTATTTATAAGTATTTTTAAGTTATAGTTTATACAACTTCAGTTTATAAGTTGATACAAATGAAAAAAATTAATACAAAAATAATATATTGTCCTGATCTTGTTTTATCCAAAATTCATGTTAATCATTCATCAATTTTTAATTTAGTTAGGACTTATATTCTTTTTCTTCCTTCAGCCCTCTCACCATTTTGCTTGTAATCAAATTCTATTATAATTGATTTTTTGTCATAAATGGTGCAGATTTGGATTCATGCTCTTCATTACAAATATAGTTCTTCCACCACAAAAAAATTCTCTAGGCTTGTTGCAAAACCAATTGCTGGAGTCATTCCATTGTATATCTAGCAGACATGAAGCTATTTCGACCTAAAGCACATCTTTGTGTTCTTGTCCCTTCACTCCTTGGGCTAAATGCTCAAGAGTCATTCTATACTCTAATTCTTTTGTTTCTTGGCTCTAAATTTGGGAGTTGAGCTCTATCCCTTCGTTTAGTAGCCCAAGGCCCTGAAACTCAAGTTCCAATCCACTTGTAAGCAACCAAAAGGAACGACTCGAGAGACGATCCATGGGGTTCAAATATAGAGGGAAAGGGCCCATGAACAAGAGTGCACCCCCTTTTCCAATCAGTTAAGGGTCTTGGGATATTTGGGGTTAAGCGTCCTTGGGTTTGAATAGTACTGGGCTAGGTGACCTCCCGGGAAGTCCAAACTCAGGAGCTTACATTTGGTATCAGAGGGGTCTCGGGTCCGACTCTGTTGGTTGGCTAAGGGAATCACACCACATGTTGATTGACATCTGGCTGGTCCAGTTTGCTCCCGCTGGGCTCGACTCGAGGGGTAGGGTGTCAAGAGAGCGAGGCTCTCGAGAGAGTTGCGGCTCTCAGCTTCCGTTCACGAGGGCGTGAACTTGCAGGGAAGCGTGGTGGATTGTAAGCAACCAAAGGGAACGACTCGAGAGACGATCCATGGGGTTCAAATATAGAGGGAAAGGGCCCATGAACAAGAGTGCACCCCTTTTTCCAATCGGTTAAGGGTCTTGGGATATTTGGGGTTAAGCGTCCTTGGGTTTGAATAGTACTGGGCTGGGTGACCTCTCGGGAAGTCCAAACTCAGGAGTTTACACCACTATCCCTAGATACATGGTATGTGGCATGTGGCATATAAAAGGATAAGTTATGCTTTGTGGTTATCCTATGGTAAATCACTATAGAATAAAGGGTGAAAATCACGTATGCTATACTCACTGTTCATAGTAGTGTTCACCACCACCACTATTAATTTAGAGCTTGAATGCCTATCCACTAAATTTTACTAACCTTTGATACTTCTTCACTATGTAACTATACCCTTGGTCACTAAACAAAAGGATTATTCCTCTTGCTTTCCATAATTTAAGACTTTAGAATGATAATTCGAAACATTGCAACTCAATGTAAGTCTCATGGGCATATGTACTCCCCCTATCTTCTGCCATTAGGATGCCCTAACCATGTGGCTAAAGCAAGGTTCTAATGAGCCATACAAGACAATGCCACTCATACTTGAATTGGGAACATTAATCATTTGATCTTTCACAACTATTAAATACTTCATCAAATAACCCCATTTATCTATCCATATTCACTTTAGCCTTAGACTCTTTAGTAATTATATCATTTTCCACCACATGGGTGTAGTCTTCCTTGGTCATATTAACCTTTTTTAGCCTCATTGATTCCACTTTGTAAGGATTTATTAAACCCCTTAGCATCTGGAGACAATCGCTTTAGGCTTTCACCCTTGGATTTAGTCTTGGTCTCAGTCTCAGTTTTGGTCTTGGCCTTAGTCTTGGTTTCAATCTCAATCTCGCTCTCGGATTTGAATTTGAATTTGGACTCCCTCTCAAACCCAATCTTGACCTTCATTTCTCATACTTGATATTGGACTCCGTCTCAGACTTGGTACCAAAGTTGAAATCAGTCCTAGACTCAGTCTTAGACTAAGTCTCAGATTTGGTTTTAACACTTTTATGTCTTATAACATTTACCATGTGTTAATTCTTTTTGTATTTTGTTTTAAAGACTTATTTTATCAATCATTTTATGCTCATTCCCATTTTCAACTTTTTGAGTTGAAACTTTTAGTTGAACTTCCACTTTAGCCATTGTCACATGATATATTTTCAACTCCATTTTGGTGCTTAGGGATTTGTGTCTTACCGATCAAAACATGATTCTTGAAATGTAACCATATACCACAACATGCCTTGATTGCTGCCACAAACAGCCAAATGCAAATTCCTAGCTTTTGATATGACTTGCAAAGTGCTCAAAGTGATCTTTGGTTCCATATCCACAAGGAGGCAATGGAAAGGTTCCATTTGCCTTGGAATCCCAATGGAAAACCAAATAAGTGGTTGGAACCATTCCAAACATTAAAGGAAAATCATAAAACAAGTATTAAATAAAAAAATCAATCAATTAATCAAATATTAAAGGATCCTGCCATGTTGAGTTAAGAGACTGATCATAAAGAATTTTCAATCTGGAGAGAATGAGCCTCTTGTATGCAAAAGACAGGATCATAATCCAGCTGCAAATTTCTTGGGGAATCACACCTTGTGAATTGGTTCCCACTATATCTGAGGTATGTGGAATTCAAGCTTTTTTACTGGAACGTTGCCACTCAACTTGTTGGATATGACAAAGGAGAACAAACTTGTCAACTTCATCAGCTCAAGCGGGCCTGTGAGATTGTTTTGTGCAAAGTTGACCACTTTGAGGTATAAGCAGTTCGCTAGCCTTGAGCTGATTTCTCTGTGGAACTTGTTCACAGAGATCCACGTAAGGCAGGTGCACCAAAAGTTGGCACCTTGCTCTGTATCGAGTTTCCATGGAGGTTGAGATAACCAAGGTTTGTGCACTTATCCAGTGGAGGAACTTCATTGCTGAGTTTGTTGTCACTCAAGTCAAATATCTCTAGACGATCCAGCTGACTAAATCCTCTTCGAATGCTACCTGATATATTGTTATAGTTGAGATGCAATCGCTGGAGAGTCTTCATCTATGTGATCGAATGTGGAATGGGCTTCCTTTTCCAGCTACTCAAGCTCATATGGGTATGTAATTATCCTTTTTTTCTGCCATCAAACATCTTCTGTCTTGGGGAATTGCAAGCTTGGCAAGGCCGCCTTGGGAGAGAACGTCAAGACACAGATCGTATCTTCAACTTGAGCTCTTCAAGCTCTCGTATTGCAGTTGTTTGTTGATTTTTCTTGTTTGTATATAGAGGCCTGCATTTCTGTAGACGAGTGAGAGAAGCACGATCTTTCTGCCGAGGTAGTGTCTCGCGGAAGTTGCAGATGGAAACTTTTTCAATTTTTGTGTAGTTGTATCCGTGCCCCAAAGGATCTCGAGTCCATCGTGCGTTTGTGAAATCGTCTGGAGGCAAAGAGCAGTAAGTGATACACTCTTGTCTGTAAAAAATTCTCATCGAATATGACAGGTTTCCATTTCTCTTGGATCCAAACACCGGCGTGTCAATGTACGAGAGCTGTGAGTAACTTTCTCGTTTTCTTTCCATCACAATCAGCTTGCATGAATGCCTCTGGCAGCCGATATTGTCAACTACTTGTTCCAGGAATATGGTGAGAGAAGCAAGCCAACATTCGGGATTTTAGAAAGGTAAGAAGTTTTATTGAAGTGTAAACTCTTCGGTATTTCATCATAGTGTGTTCCAGCAATTTAGTCACTGGCTGGGTGCCGACAATAATACGAGCAGGGGGAGGCATGTCACTGTGGAATGGAGCATTGCCAAATCCTCCACAGAAGCTACTTGAGCTCTACTCGAACAACCATGTAAAGCGCTTTGTTTTCAAAGAATTCTAAAAGTTTTTGGTAGTTTGCAAGGCTCGTAAGAGAAGCCCTGTGCGAGCTGGAACTTCCTTACATCCTCTGGAACACGGGCAAAGGGTCACTTAATTGCTCCAAGCTCAAGCAAATCTCGGGTTCAACACAGGTAACCTTTTGGTCTATCTTTTCCCTTCATTATCATTGTCAAGAACAGGTTCCACTGGTTGATCCCAACACTGGCATACAAATAGTCCCCTATCTCTTCGCTAACTATAATTCGAACCGATGCAGATTTTCCTATCAGCTATCATCATGTTCACTCCATTGAGTGGTACTAATAGTGTATCGCGCTTTTCTCCCAAGAACAGGGAAATGGCAGTTGCTACCATCAGCAAACGGAGGTACCAGCTAAACAGCAGTGTTCCCACAACTATGGACTGGTTGGCTTTCTAGAACGTGTACGGGTGATCTGTACTAGAGAGAGAAAGAGTTTAGGGTAGGCATTGTTTTTGTACCCCATTTTCAAGAAATGAGGCATTTGGCGCATCACCTGGTCGCTTTTCTGCTACCGCCGGGAACGAGCTCAAGGTTGGGAGGTATGGGTCATGATGTGGAGATCGTTCGTGATTTGGGGTCGTGTCCTTCTTGGTAGGAAGAGAGGAAATTCTGCTTCGCATGCATCCAGGATGTCCCTGGGGGGAGGGTGTGATGTCCTGGACTGAGAAAACCCAAAACGATGGCTGGGACAGCAGTGCTTGGGCAGAATTTGAGAGCTTTGGATGCGCACACAGTGGCTATCATCCCTGGACACATCGATGAAGGTCCCAGGCTGCATGTGGAAAGTGTTAAGTCTTTCTTTCTTGACTTCTCGACTCACTGACCAAACTTTTTGTGACGAGGTTTGAAGTTCTGGAGAGCAAGGACGAGCTTGATCTCATTGGACAACAACCACCAGAACCGCTGCGGCAGTTTAACCAGCGCTTTCAGTCTTATATTCGTAAATTCGTCCTGTGTGGCGACTTGATACGGCTGTGCATCACTTTGCCAAGTTCCAGCCTTCTTGGATTGGTCCTTATCAGGTACTTTCTCGTGCTGGCACTAATTCGTATTGGCTAGCAGAGTTGACGGGCAGGAAACCGAGTTCATCTCAAACGGTATTTCTTTTGACTGGTACAGTTCACGTTTCGTTTCGTTTCTATTGTTTTAATGCTGTGAGTGTCTTTGCGAGAACTATTTTGTTACTAACAGGCCCGAACCTGATTCGGGAGCAGGACACTGTCTCCTGGGATAAGTTCTGTCCCATTCGCGATGCGGAGACAGCTTGTTGAGGGGCACGATCCTGTGGTACGTAATGCTTCTCTCTCCCCTGTCTCTTGAGGTTTCCAATCGTCACAGTTCTGAGGTGCATTCTTTGTCTCAAATCGCTAAGAATGTTAATCTGCATTTCCTTGCTTTCTGTCATAACTGTTACATTTGAACTGCTTTCTATGTTTTCTTGTTCCGTGGTCTCGTTCGTCTAGTTGTGGCCTGTCGATAACAATCTTTCACTGGGGATGGCCAAAGCGCTTGGTCTCTCTGGCGTTGGAAAGTTTCATGGCGGTTGGTTCTCGTTGACAGTTGGCCAAGTCGCTTGGTCCTTTCGGCTTGTCAATCGACTGCCTACGACGGGCTGCTTCAAGGATGGATGAGACACGAGAAATTCATGTGTGATGCCTTTCTGTGCTTATTGTCTTTCTTTCATACCATTGCCTCGGAGCTTGAACATCGATGCTACCTCAGAATCTTTGACTTTGGACCTCCAATCACTTGGGATTGAGACTCATTCGCCCCTTGAGAGTTGCACACCATCAACACTGAATCTCTTAGTATCTGCGCACTTGGGACGTGCTTTCCCCAGTGAGTCGCCAAATACGAAACGTACAGGAGAGTGTTATAAGAGGGTAGACATTCTTTGGATGATGTTAGTGCATAGGTCATGAAGGGAACCGCCATGGAGATGTGCTCCAGGTCGAGATAGCTTCGTGTCGGCTGGATATGCAGTGGAATGACTCCAGCAGTTGGTTTTGCAACAAGCCTGGAGAATCTTTTTGTGGTTGAAGAATATATTTGTAATGAAGAGCAAGAGTCCAAATCTGCATCATTTATGACAAAAAATCAATTATAATAGAATTTGATTACAAGCAAAATGGTGAGGAAGAAAAAGAATAGAAGTCCTAACTAAATTAAAAACTGATGAACGATTAACCCGAATTTATGGATATTGATGGACAAGACAATATATTATTTTTGTATTAAATTTTTTCATTTGTATAAACTCAAGTTGTATAAACTATAACTTAAAAATACTTATAAATAAACTTTCCTTTTATTAAGTTTCCCATCTAATTCATTTAACTCTAAAATTCATTGAGTTAAATTAAATTTTAGCATTATTTTTTATCTTCTATATTTTATAAAATACATTTAAAACTCAGAAGTGGTGTAAAATACAATTTAATATGTAAACACATACTAGGCAATTGCTACAAGGCACAAAACAAAAATCCTCAGTTTATATTAACCAAATAAATAGGTCATTTATAAATAGTTAACATATAACTTAATAAACTAATAAATAAAATTTATAAATATTTTTTTAAGTTTTTTAATAAGATATTTGTAAATTTTATAACTAAATCTGATCTACATTCCATTCAAATATATCATATCAATAAATATTTTTGTAACACTATTTTGTATTGTCTTAAGTTGAATGCATCTATATTCGTAGATACAAATATTAGTTTTTTAGCACCTGATTATTTAGACATTTCATTAAATATCCAAATACTAATTCAAACACTTTAAAAAGGAGCTTCAAGTCACCAAGGGTAGTAATATGCTTTTTGCAAGCTAGGAATAATAGAGATTGTATTGTCACACTTTGAGATCATGAAATACAAGGATTCTATTTAGAGGAAGAAGTCCTTTGAATTTAATAACATATTTATTAACCATCATGAGATTTGATAGCTTGTAGGGATAATATTCCAAATTATTGATAGTAAGCATAAGTATGCAACGTCCTTTAGATGTTAATAGACTTATCTTAGCCTGCTAAAAAATCAATGCATAAGTTTGCTAAAATTTTGCCTTCAACTCCACTTTCACTTGCTTTGTTATGTTTGAATGTAAACTTAGATAGTTTTCTATCCAAAAGTAGAACTTTGTCCATGACATTAAATAACTTCAATTTTTTATAGAGTTAAGTGAGGATGATATTTGACAATATTATTGTGATGATCTTGCAACACTTGTTTAACACTCATAGACTTGAAATGATAGTATGATTTGGTTCAACAACCCAATCAAATTTTCTGCTTATGGTGTGCTGTAAGGTATATCTTTCCTTCACTTTATAAAGGATTATTTTTATTTTTTTGGTTTCTATCTTTTAGTAAAGGTCAAATAAGATGCATATGAACTTGTGTATCTGGAAAAGAGTCAGGAAGAGCTCTTGGCTGAGTTTTTACAAATTGAGTATAAAATTCAATATATAAAGTCTTAAAAATTGAAGAAATTAGTATGTATTACAGACAATTATAGGTTGAAGGAGTAGCTAGAGAGTATAGCTAAGCTTTTTACTCACAAATATAAATTTCTTATCGCATGCTTCATTTTTCTCAATTACACATATTACTTTTGTAGTGAGTTAAACTCTAGATGATATGATTTACAATATCACAAAATTGATTTTTATATAAATAACAGATAGAAATTCTAAAGTTCCTCAATATCTACTTGATGAACAGAGAGAAAAGACTGTTAGAAGTATTTGAGAACATGATAAGGAGGGTTATCTATATCATGTAAATTGTGAGTAGGGTCTTGGGATATTTAGTATTAGAGAGTGCAGTGCTTGGGGAGAGTTGCAGTTCTCAACTTCTCATAAAGGTGTGAATTTGTAAGGAAGTGTAGTGGATTATAAGCAACTAAAGAGAATAACTCGAGAAATGGTCTATAAAGATTCAAATATAAAAGAAAAGACTCATAAATAAAAATACACCACTTTTTTCCAATTAGTTAAAAGTCTTGAGTTATTTGGGGTTAAACATCTTTGGGTTTGAATAATACTAGGCTAGATGACTTCATAGAAAGTTCAAATTCAATGATAATGCAAGTGACAATGGAGATGAGGATAAGAAAGCTTCGAATCAAACTCATATTCCACCATCTGATAATCAGGATCAAGCTCTAATTTCACTACCAAACGATCATATGATAGTAGCTTTTATTATTCATATGACTCTTCTATAGGTTTGTCCTGTTTTCCCAATAACACATTGAGGCATTGTGGGTGTCTTCATTAGCTCCTATAGCAGATTGTTAACATCTTTCACAAAAGATGACATAAACATAGAAATATAACATTAGTTCAACCATTAATGCTGAACAATATAAAAGCCCTTGAAAACTTTATTCTCTTCGACTTTGCAAATAGTCTTTAAATATTGATGGGAAAGTTGAGGACTAGAAACTTTCTCACACCTGACCACCTTGTGATATATTCTTCTTGTCATAAACATTTCTATTTGAAGTTGGCTATGTCATTTTTATCCTACTAAATGACCCCAACTGAATGTATGAATTTATGATGTGTGTAGCAGAAGTTTATTTCAAGTAATTCTACCCCGAATGTATCATGGATCCTATTGGCATCGATATTAGAGGCATTCAAAGTAAGTCTGAAAAGGTGAGTAGGTATTTTATATTTTTATCTAATTTCTAAACTTTCTCATTTTCTAAGTTATGATGTGGACTATCACAAATGTTACTTTGGGTATCGAAAGTTACCTATTGATTAGTCCTTTTGGATATTCTTTCCTTACTATTATGACGGCAAGAGGTTGGTATTGCTAAACCCTTTTTTTCAGTCTCCACCTAAAATAGTTGAGAAACTAATCTTTGTGTGTGCACTTGACTAGCTAAATGAACATCAAGACGGAATTCCCAAGATGGAATTCCTAAGTGCTATTAGTCAAACATACTTGACTTGATTAGAGAAACTCATTCATTGACTAAACCCTTTTTTTCAATCTCCACTTAAAATAGTTGAGAAACTAATCTTTGTGTGTGCACTTGACTAGCTAAATGAACATCAAGACAGAATTCCCAAGATGGAATTCCTAAGTGCTATTAGTTAAACATACTTGACTTGATTAGAGAAACTCATTCATTGACTTGCACTTGCTAGTGTTGGGAACCCTTGCAATATTGAGCTTAATCCTTCAATATTCGTCAGATGATAGTTTATTGTGTTTGACAAACACTTTCGCTATCATACATCTTGTGTTAGTACTATTCGGTTCTAAATACTATTTATGGAAAGTGTCTAGATATACTTATTTGGCATATCTACGGAATATAAAGATTGTCCTGACCACAATGGTGTTGGTCCCGTATCCAAATTCACAATCTAGAGACATTCCATATTTAGTAAGTTATGAGTTAGTTCCACAGACTAACTCTTGGTACTAAGGGTCAGATATGGTCAACCAACTTGAGGCATATGTAAGCTCATGAGTTTGGACTTCTCGGGAGGTCACCCAACCCAGTACTATTCACACCCAATGACGCTTAACCCCAAATATCCCAAAACCCTTAACTGTTTGGAAAAGGGGGGTGCACTCTTGTTCATGGGCCCTTTCCCTCTGTATTAGAACCCTATGGATCGTCTCTCAAGTCGTTCTCTTTGGTTGCTTACAGCATAGTCTAGCTCCTGCTTGCGTGCCTATTATTATTTTGCATCTAGGTTAGGTATAAACCCAAGTTCTATACCATACTAGTTAATGGAGTACCCATATCCTCGCATTAAGCCACTAGTATGCTGAAATAGTACCAAACTTCATTTAGCTCCATTTTGCGTGTTAGTCTTGGCATTGGGATATTAAATGCTCTAAGACTATTTTTATGTTACTCCATGCTTCTGTCCTTTTACTCCTTGGGCTGAATGTTTGGAGTCACACTATGCTCCAGTTCTTTTGTTCCTTGGTTGCAAACTTAAGAGTTTGGCTCCATACTTACATTCAATGGCCCAAGGCTTTAAAACTTGGGTTCCACTCTGCTGTCTATTGGACATGTGGCATGTAATACATGGCATATGGAAGGTTTAGATTCCGCTTCATGGTTATCTCATGGTAAATCACTATAAGATAAAGGGTGAAAACCATATATACTATATTTGGTACCAGAGAATAAGTTTCAGTGAGTATTATCCAATGAGATTGGGCAATTGGTCTTGTTGCATATGCAGAGATGAAAATGATGATCTGAGTGGGTGTACATTTGAGTGCTATGACTTTGTAATATTTCTTTAGGTATGGATTTTGGTTACCTTTTTGTACCATATTATGTGAGCTTGTGCTTTGGCTTATAAGATGGATTAAAAATGTTCCGTTTGCACAAGTTTGAGCTGTGGCTCATGAATGAGGCACATTAGCAACTCAAGGTTACACTTTGAGTTAACAAGATTAATGTTAGCCTATTAGTGGTTACCATAAGTTATTCTATGTATTATAGGTAAAATTAAACCTCCCTTAGGTTTGCTATGGGTGGTGAATATGCTAGTTTGTAGCTGTTTAGCATAGAATTAATGGATCCTTTCTAGGCATGATTATAAGTGGATAAAGCAAACTTGAGGTTTAGTCAAAATTGAGTAAAAAAAGAAAGTTATTAGGGATGAAGGATCAAACACATAAATCATTTTCTCTTTTGGAGAGATGATTTACAACAAAGTGTTAATTCATTGTTCATATTTACGTCATACAATCAAAAGTTCTTATTTTGATGCATGTTGGAAATTATGGTCTTATAAGTGGTGAGTTGTGAAATGGATAGTGATGAAGTGCTAAACCATTTTGTTTAGGCTTGTTATTGAAAACTTAGATTGCAATACTCAATTCTTTTTAGGGGAACCTTGCTATTGTTCCTTGAATAGTTTGGTGTAAGATTAGTGTTGAGTTTGATCGGAAAAAGAGTGACATGAGCTTATTTATGTTGTGAACAAAAGTTAGTGGTGTTCAGTATTGTAAATCCTTATTGGTGGAGTGTGGCATTTATATTACATTTTATTGAATCGAGTTGGCATTTGATACTCATGTAAACCTTTGTAGTAGTGATATAGATGTTGCTTATGGTATTGCTCGATTAATGATCAAGTCATTATGATATTTATATCATATCCATATGATAATGAGTAATGTGTTTATGAAGTTGTTTGATTAACAATGATTAACCACAAAATGGTTGATAGTGAAGTTAATTTATTTGCTAGTAGTAGCATTGAAGTAGCTTTGACTAGATTCTCGATGGTGGTTTATTATACTAAGCTTGAGTTGATACCTTATTTCCTTAAGAGTTTGCCCATAAACTGTTAGAAAAGGTTATAATATTCACTTGCTATAGCTTGTTGGTTTATCCGTTAGCACTTGGAATAAATTGTTGGATAGAGAAGGTGTGAAGTTGAGGCACTAACATTGCTAGCACTTGTGCTAATGAAAGTGGCATTATTGTTTTGAGTGATAAGGAATTTTTCTTGGAGCTTGATTTTCCATGTCATTTTTCTTGTTAGTGTTTTGGCTTCACATTAGATCTTGAAGATGATTGAAGAAGAGTGTTAGTACAATGTGGATATCCAAAAATGTGGTCTTCATAATCATGTCTTAGGTATTCATTTGCATTTTGCAAGTGATGGTGTAGGATGTCAGAAATATGGGCAAGATGTTCATACTGTTGGGTTATGAGAATTAATGTTGAGGTGAACTTTTGTAAAGTTGTAAGTAGGAGGAAGTTGGTTGAATTTTGAAAGTTTGTATTTCTAGTCATTCTTTCTCTAGAATGGGAAATTTTCCACAAATTTTCTTAAACTTTTTCAATAACTAATCTGTTAATCACTTTATCAGAAAACCATTCCATTTTCGTAAGCTAGTACAAACTAGTGAAGGGGTTGGAGTTGAATATAATTAGCTTAGACTTTAGTAGGTAGTTTGTATGATGCGGCCCGAAAGAAATGTTGACTTCTTGGGGCTAAAAAAATTAAGTTGAATAGAGTCTGGAGTTGGTGTAGAAAAATGGCTATTGCACTTTTCTAGAAAGGTGACCCTTATGCCTTTCTTTTGTAGTGTTATGCTTGGTGGTAAGTTGTACTTTGCATTTCATTAAACTTTATGAGAGTAGTGAATTCTCTCTAATCTTGAATTGGTCTTGATACCCTTGCGCTTTAGTTAAAGATAGTGATGTCTAACTTAGTTGTTTGAGGTTAAGGTGTTAATACCTGTATTATAACTTTGTCCATTAGAAGGTTGTGTATAAATATGAGTGTATTTTATGATTTTCACTTTAATTTTGACTAAGTATGATTATGTATAACTAACCTCTTCAAGGCATGCTCAAAGATATTGGTTATACACATTAATGAACTTATTGCGGTTGAGTTGGATTTGAGTGGTCATTTAATTCATGCTTATTCATGTACCTAGGGTGTTATGTTCAAGTTGAATAAATATATGACTCGATGGCATGAGTTTAGTATTTGGGTTTTGTGAAGGTAAGTTGAAGAATGATTATTGGTTGCTTTGCAACTAGTGATTGCTTATACACTTTGTCGAGGACTGCTAACACTTGCTTTGCTCGATGATGATTTAGCAGTGATAAACTTGCTTTACGAGATGTTACAGAGGATCATATTATGGGTTGCATGGATTTTCCATGTTAGCATATCAATTTTATCTTTATCGATATCATTTGGTTGCATTTAGTTTGGGGTATTGGATTTTATTGAGTTTTGGATGTGGTGAATAACTCCTTGATGATGTATTATTTGTAATTGAGTGTTATTAAAGGATTGGTCTTGAATACTAAGTATAATATCTTTGACTTTGATTATCTTGGTTGCTAAAGAGCTTCAAGTGGTGATTCACTTTTGCTTTTTTCTAGCTTTGTTCTGGTGTTAATTGCATTGAAGTGATGATTTATCGTTGAAATTCTTGATGTTAAGATTCGAGTGAAATGAGATGTCTCTCTATAATTTTGATATTGAGTTTCCTTAATCTCAATGCAGATAGTATTGATGATTTAGCTAAAGCTTTATGTTGTTAGCAATCGTGCATTAGCTAGTTAACAACTATGTTGGCGTTCAAATGAGCTAAATAGCAAGTTGAGTTAGTTATGTTCTAGACGAGATTATTTAGTAGGGGTTGAGCTTTAGCTTTTCCTTGAAAAGTGATTTAGTCATGAACTATGCTAACTTTACAAAAAGAAGAGTTAGCTTTCGATATTAAAGTTGGTGGTTCTTATCGATTTATGATTCTTTTTGTATTTTTTATGATGATTTTTCTTGTACTTGTTATGAAGTGAGTTATGTTTTACTATAGAAAATGGATTTATGGAGGATTGGTTTAATAATCACTTATTATGCTTAGCTTTTGGATTGATACAGATATACTATAGTTTTGCATTATAAAGTTTCACTTTTACATGTGTTGAGAAAGATGTTGTGGGTTGTACCATGATTTCTTCTTTGGCATTGAAGTTAGTTCATGCAAGATTCGTGATCATTATTAGGGAAGACTTAGCTATAAGCTTCTTCGAGCTTTTGGTTCTTTAAGTTTTGTTATGCTCATTATTCTAATTGTTAGAAGTTGTTAGGGGAAGGTATTTTAGTTTATTAGCTTCAATGTTAAAGTTAGCTTCTGCATTTGGCAATCATTGATGATGATTGACTATCATCTAGGATAGTTAATTATCTTTGTTAAAGGTTTTGCTTAATTATTGTTGATGTTGAATTATTGCCATTCTTTGGGATGGTGGATTATTTCTTGACAATGTTTATTTGCATTACCACATATTCTTTGTGGTTTGCTTTGGTTGGTCTCTTGGGGTTGAGATATTGATAAGATGTTGCTGACACTTGCTTAAGCAACTTGAGTTCTTTAGTATGGTAAACAAAATTTTATATAGATTGGCTAATACAATAGTTATCATGAATGAGTGTTTGTTTACTCTAACTGCCTATTTGCAGTAGTCTATCTAAACCTTACTGACAGGTTTATTTTCTTTACTTAGGAGGGTTGGGGCCTTTAGCTTCTCTCTCTATATCCTTGTAGACAGAGGCATATCACACTTTTGTAAGTTGGGTGACACCTAGAGCAACAAGAGTGGCTAACTCCATTAATCATTTCCTTGTCAATGATGGTCAGAAGGTGTTGAGGGAGACTCTGGAAGGACAGAGAGGCCCCCGGACGG